TTTTATTAAGAATTGTTTGGAAATGAAACTAAAATGGAAGTTGCTATTTCATATAAGCTGTGTTTCTCAAAAACGCAAGAGAGCTGTGCTTCTTTGTATTATCGAAAGAAGAAGAAAAAAAGACCCCTTACAATGCCTCAGGCAGTTTAATATTCATATAAGTCTAATTTATTAGTGTTGTAAACAGTAACATGCTTTAACAGTGTGCCCAAACTTCAGCATTATGTAGGCTCCAAAACCTTGTTTTCAACAATAATACTTTATTCATGTGCACAATAGTCATACAGAATAGCAATGGTTGCATGCTCTCATGTAAAATGCTCACCTGGAGAGTCTTACCAAGCCCCATCTCATCTGCAATAAGGCAGCGCCCATGCCTTCGAAGCCCAAACTTCACACCTTCAAGTTGAAAGGGTAGGAGTGCATCTCGTAAGTGTTGTGGCAACTTCATGAGAAGCCCGTCAACTTCTTTATCAGAAGCGCAGCTTTCGGCAAAGAACTTAGGGAGATTCTTGATAACATTCCTTGTTTTGTAAGGTATATCTTGCACAGCAACTCCAGGCAACTTCTTCAGGCATTTTAACACGGGCTCATAGTCCATGAGCTTAAATACGGAGAAAATATGGCCACTTTGACTTTGTGTTGTAGAGAATGGTGCAGCCTTACCAACAATACAGGGGAAGGATCAGTTTTAATTCTAGATCAAGAACATAACATCCCAGAAAGCCAATCAAAATAGGTTAAATAGAACAGTAAATATTTGTTCTTTTATGCTTGAAATCTACTCATTACTTTACACCTAGAAAAAAATAGCTCTGAATTGTAATATCGCTCACATCATAATGCATCCCCATTTTGTGCTTATAACCATTGAGTTTGAAGGCTCTTCATCTTGCTCAGAAAAATTAGTGGCATGGTCATTATTATTGAAAAAAGATCGAATAGAAATAAAGAAGACGCATAAATTTCTGTTATTCATAATAAAGACTCAAATGGCACCAATAAGGCCTTAATTACCCATAAAACTTAGGTGTATATTTTAATGGCCTTGCTAGAAGCCAGTAAGTAACGCTTTCAGTGTTCGACTACATATGCTGCCTGTGAACATGTTTAAGTGCATAATGCATCTATATATCGAGATAATTGGTCAAGTATGTGAAAGGGGAAAGCCCGTTGATGGGTACAAGTAGACATGAGAACAAGTCGATTTGGATTTACCAGTTTTAGGGACTTTAAACATTTAGAACTAGGGTTCACCCAACAAACTCCCGACGAAAGTAATCCAAATGGGACTAGGGTTCATCGTTTGTGTGTGGAGAGACTATCTTTATCGAGTCACCGAATTCTCGGAGTGATATTTCAAGAAATGCTTGCAAATATCCACGGACTTGCTAAGCTGTCGCCAAGAAACACGGGGAAAAATTAACGAAATCTTGAGAAAGAAACGCTCCGAGGTATCCAAGAAAGCACCGAGTTTGTCGAGCAGCATATATATTATCAAGAAAGGGATGAAGAACGGATGAACCGTACCGAAGAGATGCAATCTTGGACGGCGCGGAGGCACTCGGCCTCGCCGGGGTAGGCGAAGCCCTCGGCGGGCCCCACCGCCACCGAGAAATCCTCGGGGCCGCACACCTCCAGCACCACTTTGAACCCCACCGGCGGCTGCGGCGGCGGCGGAGGAGGAGGAGGAGGCAATGTCCGCGGAGGAGGAGGAGGCAGCGTCGGCTGAGGAGGAGGCGGAGCGAATCTTGGGCACTTGGCGAGCCTCCACCCCACCGAGGCATCGGCGGCGGCGGCCTCCGCGAAGCGCTTGCGCCTCTCGAGGGCGGCGAGGCGGTTGGCCTCGATGCGGCGGCGCTGCTCCTCCGTGATCCCCATGGGCTACAACTAGTACTCCACTACACCTCCTACACTACCCTACTACACCTCCTACACTACCCTAGAGTGTGCGGATTCATGAGGATTCGGGAGGAGGGTTTGGCGTTCGGGAAATGGGCGGGCTTTTGGTTTGGTCGTCGGAGGGCAAGAAATTTGCACATGTACCACGGTTAAAAAACCGGCTACGCTACGATACCGTCACTTAAATGGAATTCGCTTCAACGTTATCCTCGAGATGTGAGCATTCGCTATAATGTCATTTTCACCATTTGTTACAATTCCAAACCATTTTCCACCAAAATAATATTTTCGCGGACCGTTTTGCCCCTGGAACAACTCACCCCTCCAAAAGCTAGGTCGCGGCGCCAGCTCCTCTCTCCCCAGCTGAGCTGCTTCTCCTCCTAGAGCCGATTCCCTGCGCGGCGGCGCAGCTACCCCAACCACGCCGTCTCCATCCTGGTCCTCGTCGGCGTCGTCTTCATCCTGGTCCTCGTCAACACCGTCTCCATCCTGCTAGCACGCCACCTCCCCCGATGCATTGCACAAAGTGTCTCAATGGACATACTCTGTTTGGGCGGCGGCGACTGCTACCACAGGGAAGAGGCGCCCGGTGCACCCTACGGTTTGGGCGGCGGCGAGGTGGGGAAGGCGTCGACGAGGTGAGGGAAGGCAGCGGCGAGCTGAGGGAAGACGGTGCGAGGTGGGGAAGGCTACGGCATGGATGGCGGTAGAGGAGGTCGCGTCGTCGCGCTGAGAGGAGAGCGGCGCGTCTAGGCAGCAGTGGTAGCGTCCCCTATGTGTGGTTCAGTTCAACTAGATCTAGGGGCAAAACGGTCCGCGAAAAAATTATTTTAGTAGAAAATGGTTTGGAATTGCAACCAATGGTGAAAATGGCATTGTAGCGAACACCCACATCTTGAGGATGGCGTTTGAGCGAATCCCATTTAAACGATGGCATTGTAGCGAAGCCGGTTTTTAACTGAGGTACATATGCAAAATTCTCTCGGAGGGCGTGGACGGGAGGGGAAGAGCTACAGAGTTCTTACACACAAATGCCCTATTTGAATTGCTACCAAAAACATGCCCTACCAATATTTTGGTAATTTGAATAGTACATGTGTTTGATTTGAATTGAAGCACATTCATTGGTAATACCTAATCTAGATTTGGCATCATCTAGAATATTCTTCACTATAATTTTCACATTTTGGCTCTAGGTTGGTAGCAAACCAAATATGATCAAAAACAATATTACCTTACCAAAAATTTGGTAGTGCCAAAACTTGCCTGTATTTTGGCACTACAAAAAAATTGGTAGGTAACCGTCCAAATAGGCCCAAAATTTTACATAGTTCTAAAAAAAAACACGCATGAATCAACAGATCTGTGTAAAATTTGTGAGAATTATGTAAAAGAAAACACATGAATCAGAGTATTGAGCAGAGCTCTCTAAACACAAATGAATCACCAACGCAATTTTACATAGTTCTACAAAAACACACACACACAATTTTACATGTTATTACGTAATACTTCAATCATCAAATCCATCCAACGCTCTATATTTATCTACATCGGATCAAACGATCCTGGTCGACTCGACCTCACGTGCCTCGTCGCGTCGTCTCGCTGGTCTCCTCCCCCAGCTCCCCCCGCCCCGACCAGTGTTTCTACTTTTTTTTTTAATTCAAATTCAAATTTAAATGGGTATATAAACATTTGAGTTATAAACTTTGGTTCTATAAACTTAAGGTATATAAACTTTATATGTATAGAAAATACTATATATAAAAAAATATTTGAATTTAAATTTAAATTTAAATCGAATATATAAATTTGAATCGGATATATAAACTTTTGACTTATAAACTTTGGGTCTATAGACTTGAGGTGTATAAACTTTAGATGTATAGAAAATACTATATATAAAAAATATTTGAATTCAAATTCAAATTTGAATAGGATATATAAACTTTTAACTTATAAATTTTGGGTTTCTAAACTTGATGTGTAAATTTGAGGTGTACAAATTTTAAATGCATAAATTTACTAAAATAGGAAAATAATGCGGTGCCAAAAAAAGAAAACCATGAGGAGGGGTGATCGCTCGGGGCGATCGATCGCCCATTAGGAATCTCGCGTCCAAAGCTGCGTTTGGGTTCGGGAAATAGAGGAGATAATACAAAGTAGTTCATACAAAATTTTGAATGTTTGAATCCCTGGTAATTTGTGGTGAACGAAGTAAAAAAGGAAAGAAAACGTTTCAAACTCTAAAGGACAGAATGGGTGTTCCAAAGACAGCAAACCCAACCGAGCCAAATTATAAGTAAGAATTTTATTTTAAAAGTAAAGTAAATTCATTTTTCAAATTTTATAATGATTAATAATTAATTAATCATTCGCTAATGACATTTTCTAATCTGACCCGAGTTGCTCAAACGAATGGGAATACGACTTTGGTTGCAAAACGAATGAAGACCTAGCCAATTTTTCTTTTTATTTTTGCAATGACCAATGTTTGCCATTACCGAAAAAAATGGCAAGGCTATGTATGGCAATGAACCAGCATGCCTTAATTCTCAAAAGTAATGCAGCAGGAACAGACAGGAAAATGAAATGCATGTGATGAGCACCAGTTTTATATTTTTGACAGTCCAATTAAGCTAAATAAACACCACATTACGTGCTGTGAACATATAGGACATGACAGGAGATTGGTGTCTCGGTTACAATTAGGGGAAGCAGGGATGAGGCATCAATGATAAAGGAGAGAACAGTATAAAAATAGCTTTTTTTCCCCATCTGATGCAAAGTTTCAGGAAGAACAACACTGCGATGCAAAGCCATTCTTGTCATCCTGCAGACCTGCAGGTCGCCTTGCGCATGCATTCTCCCACTGTTAGTCGCAACCAAAGATTCAGCAACGAACAGCATGCACGAATCCAGGGTTTCAGTCTTGCAAACCTGTCAGCAACAAACGCTTGTTCAGAACACTCTTGTTTTTTTTTCTTGAGAGAAACATATTTTCAACCAATTGGGAAAATTATGGTCCCAGAAGGACAGAACTACTTGTGCTAAGCAATTGTAGATTGATTTTCTAGCCACTGTTCATACTACTATCACTAAAGTAAATAGCTCTGCATTTGACTTTCAGATTGTACATCTGCTTTGTTATCTTAGCTAGCAGCTTTGTAAAACAATAATTAATGAACTTGAAGATTGCTGACATGGATAAGATCATCCCACTTCATGGATCATTTTGAATATGAAAGTTCCTCAAACTATGGTTTAATAAAGAGCATTCATGGTTCTAATGGCATTTAAAAGAAGGGTTAATTGGATCCATGCCACTGCAACTTTGCTAAATTTAAAAAATACCACTACTATTCATCATATCGGCTACATGCCACTGAAAATTTATAAAATTGGAACCATGCCACTGCCGTTCCTTTTTCCATCTCCTATCTCACGCCGTCTCGTTTCCCCCGTCAGATGTGGCGTCATATCACGTTATTTCCCTCTTCTTTCTTCCTGCGAACTCGGCGGCCACAGCGAGCGCTCGAGGGCTGAGGAGGTCAGAGAGGAAGACGTACGGCGACGCCCGCGGGGGAGTGGAGGAGGGAGCGGAGGAGGTCGCGGAGGTGCGGGAGCGCGCGGCGGCTTCCTGGTCGGCCTCCGCATCCGCCGGGAGCTTCAACGGCCTCCCATCCGCCGGCCGACCATTCGTTCCTCTTCTTCGGCGAGGAGGCCGACGCCGCCGGCTGCCTCCTCCCCCGGGCTTGCTCCTCGTGCTCCACCGCGGCAAGAGAGCGTCGAGGAGTGGAAGTCGCGGCCGACGGCCAACGCCAGCCGTAAGCCACCTTCGAGCTCGCCGGAGACAACGACGACGATGGCGACGAGGAGGGAGTTCCTCCCCCTGGAGATCCACGACGATGACGAGGACGGTGACTTCCTGGTCGCCGACATCCACCCACCCCCGTCGCGCCGCAGCTGCTACGTGCCCGGCCGGCGCAACGTGGCGTCGCCACCGTCGCACATGGCGACGCCGCCGTGCTCGACGATGAGCTCGGTCTCGGGAGCTGCCGCCGCCGCCGTCCTCGACGATGCAGGTGCACGACCTTGCCCTCATGGCCGTCAGAGTTATAGGTCGCCGGGGAGCCGAGCGGCCGCTGGTGCCGGAGGAGAGCTCGAACGGCCATGTGTAGATGAAGCTCTCGCTGGAGCCGAACAGCCGCCATGGCTGGAAGGCGATGCCGAGCAACGCAGTGACCAGCGCCACCTTGGCGAACGTGAACTTCCGCGGGCTCAAGCTGACGAGCGCGTTTGCCGGCACCACCACGTTGGCGGGAATGTTGGTCGTGATGGTCCAAGTACTTCTCGAGCTTGCTGATGCCCTCCATGCCGTGCATGATGACGCCGAGCTGCGCGGCCCAGAAAGCGAGGAAGCACGCGAACTCCAGCGGCGCAGCCCCAGGCCTGGCACTGGCGCGAGCAGCGGCTGGTACGACTTGAGCCTGGACGGCAGGAGGAGGAACACGGCGCGGCCACCGATCCAGGATTCGATGCCGAACCACCCGCAACCGATGAGCACGCTGATGACCGCCAGCAAGTGCGTGCTGCGCACCCCGAACGCCGTACGCGCGAGCACCAGGAACGGCAGCCCGTGCGCGCCTCCTCCTCCACCGCCACCATCGCGCCGACCTCCTCGCAACCTCCCTCGCGTCAACCTCCAGCGGCCATGGATAGATGGACGATGGAACAAAGGAGGAAGGGGATGAGGACGGGATGAGGATGGCGTGAGAGAGGTGGATGGAAAAAGGGACGGCAGTGGCATTGTTCCAATTTTAGAAATTTTCAGTGGCATGTAGCCGATATGACGAATAGTGGTGGTATTTTTTTGATTTGGCAAAGTTACAGTGGCATGGATCTAATTAACCCTTAAAAGAATGCAATAAGAGTGGCAACTGATTAGGTAGAGTCGGTCCAGGGATCATGAATACTGCATAACACAACCATGTAAACAAATGAGAATAAGTATAATTAGTAATGTCTACCAAGCTTTTTTTTAGACAATAGGCAAATTTCATTACCTGGCCCTTTGAAGAAAGCCAAAACATAACAAGGTCTTATACAAAAGAAACGAAAACTAAACAACAGGGACAACTAGCTACTGAAAACAGGTAAAAAAAGGATGGGGATTCCAGCTAACCAGTTCAGGACCCGTTCTCTACACAGGGAGGCAACATCAAAAGCAGTATCAGGCTATCAGCGCCCCATAACCCAACCCTTAAACAGACCATAAACAAACAACTTCTATATTCCCAGATCATCAACCAAGCTTTTCAGACATGAAAGTAACTATAGTATAGTTTCCAACAAATGTTAGTTAATTCTTTTGGAGCTACTAGGAGTAATATCAGTTATCACATATGGAGCAAGCCACATATATTCATGAGTTGAATACAAAAGGCTTAAGCATGTAACAGTTTGACATACACAATCTACTGTTGAACATTAGTCATTCTAGATATCCAACCATGAAAAGTGATATTGGCATTCAGAATGAAGAAATGTGCTGACAACGAATGGACATAAAAAATGTCTGGATATTCTTCGGTTTGTATATTCATAATGAAGATACCTATATATTTATCTTGACCAGTAGTCAATAAAAAGTCAGGCTTTGCAGTTTCAATTCAGTAAATATAAACAAAGTTATACTTTGCAAGACAGCAAAAGAGAAAATGTAAAATATGATCACCTGATTCAAGTTCCTGATTACTACTCCTCTGGTACTTCCTCAGAATCAGACAGAGGTAGAAGGGTACCAATTCCAATGACATGTCCGTTCAGGCATACAAAATACTCCACAGAATCCTCGTAAGCACCAAGCCTGGCAGAAGAACTCCCCGGCGACATATTTGCTTCCAACATGCTCCACAGCTTAGCCTTACAGTAGGGACATGACTCGCTTGGATGGAACCTTGCCCGCTTCTCAATCAACATCTTCTTAACCTTTGAGGTGGCGAACGACATGAAGATACCACGGAAGAAACCCAAGTCACCTTCATCCCCTTGATCAAGATGCTCGCATGGATCTGAGACATATAAGACATCATTCCTACACTGCTGGGGCAGGAAACTCTTGCCCGCGGTCCTCGAAAAGCGTGTCCTGAACACAAAGTGCCCAGGGACATGAATGTTGTTAAAGAGGCCCCCTTTTGTGCAGCCATTGCAGTAGATGAGAAGCTTCCCGAGCGCCTTCCAGTTCCCGTCGACAATGTGACTGCCACCCGAATGCAAATCCAGCATCATCTTCGGCGCCCTGGCGTGGCAGAACTCCTTCCAGAGCACCTGCTTCGCGACCTCGTCGAACCACTTGCACACGCACGAGAGCACGGCGATCAGCCTGGGGTTCCAGTTCATGTGACGAAAGACCAGGAACAGCGCGTCCTCGCTGAGGTGTCCCTTGATGCAAACGCAGCTCGCCGAGTGCATGCACCGGTGCTGCTTCACCACCAGCACCATTTCCGGCAACCGAATCACTCCAGCTACAATGCTCACCTCCTCATACTCCCTTCAGTCCTGCATCACATTGGCATTTCAGTTACATGCAGAGCAATCGGTTACCAACATCGCAACAAATCAATAAAAATGGTCAAGCCTTTCATACAGATAGATCAGGTACTAAACTATACCCAATCATTTTGGACAGTTCTAACGATCTAAACTAAACCACGCATGTGGGATTCACCATAACCCCCAATTTTTTCAGAAAGAAACAAAAACTGATTTTAGTACTGTGCCACGCAACGAAGAAATCCGAATCAAACTAAGCCGGGATGGATCTCCACGCTACCACCACGCCGCCGGCTCATGAAGCGGAGGGAGAGAGCTGAGAGAGAAGAAGGAATACCTCCGGTGCCGAACCGCCAACGGCGGCGGCGGAACGAGCGAGGCCGGCCGCGCCGCGCCGCCCCCCTCCCAAAACCTGTTCACACCGGCCCGCGGCGCGCGCGCGCGCGCGCGGGAGGAAGGGCGGGAGTCGGGAAGGAGTGGAGGCTGCCCGAACCGTGCGTGCCGGAGCGGCCAAGCTCGCCGGCCGCCGCGCGAGGAGGAGGAGGAGAGGCGGAGCGGGGAGGAACCAGCCGAGCCACCGCCGGGGGAGAGAGGAAGCGAGGCGAGGGGAGATAGAGAGAGGGGAAGGAGACGACAGATGGAAGGGGAACGGGGGCATTTTGGTCATCGCCATTTTCCTCACTTTGTTTAGAGCAGGGCTATATCTATATTTCTAGTTGTTTAACATATTAAGATTTGAAAAAAATAAAATACTATAATGTCTTTATCAAATAATTTATTGTTGAAAATGGAAAGGTCGTTGAGGGGTAGAAGAAAAAGAATTTAAATAAGATGTGAGTGATAGGATAAGTAGTATTTTAGAGTGACAAGTATTGTTAGACAAAATTTGAATGGCAACGGATAAAGTAGTTTGGATTGCTACTTTACCAAAATTTGCCCTACCAAGAGAGTAGCAAAGCAAACATCTCTATTAAACACTATCTTTGCCCATGAACTTGTCTCTTATGAGCATATTTTTGTTTCAAACCAGTTCATTTTTAACTTTACCCTATCAAAGTTTTGGTAGTATCAAAATTTGATCAAGATTTGGCGCTATCAATATTTTTGTAGAGCATCAATTCAAACAGGTGCTATGTCACATTCAATCTTAGGTTTATATTTTTGAAAGAGAGAGTAATTAAAAATTCTTATAAATATCAATCCCTCCAATCAAAATTTGTTTTATGTTTGGTACCACAAAATTCCACATATTAATATTTTGTTTAAAAAATAATAACAAATAAATGGTTTTAGGTAGACTTGCCTCGAAAAGAGGTACATAATATTACAAACTTAGGAGTATATTTTATTAATTTATTTTAATATAAAATTTATCAAATCATATACTCGATGTTAAAGATTTGTTTATGATGGAGGGAGTGCTTCAAACAAATATTTATATTTGATTTATTCACTTGGTTCTTATGGAAAATTGAAATGTAGTAACATTGTTTTGTAAAAGTTTATGAGATTCTTTTTGTGTTTATATCATTTTTTTCTTTTATTTGTTCGATTAAAATTTAAAAATTCATGTCTAAATCCATCTTTCCTCCCACCAGTGCTAGACAGGAATAAATACTACTCCAAAATTAATTCGTTTCAAATGCCAAAATTAATAATTGCTTAAACTCCAGATATTGAAAATACAAACATTTATTAGTGGAATAGCGAGGCAGAGGACTCAGGGATTACGAGATTACCCCTGGGCCAGTCGGCGACTAGTAGTCGGCGAGATGAGGTCGAGCGGGGGCCACCTCAGGATATTTATGAGTTTGTTTAACTACAGCTTGTTAAATTAAATAGAGTAAAAGTAAATGGCAGGCAAGATCGTACGGCCCAATGTTTATTGCTGATGCATCTCTTCCATCTCTCTGGTTTATGGCGATAGCGACATGTACTAGGCATTTTTTTGGCATGGACTAAGGTAGTATCCACCTGGTGTATTATAATACGAAATTAATACAATATAAGAAAAATACTCCTACAACCAGGCTACCAACTTGGTTGATGCCTCTTCAACTTGTACAGACGTTTTATTTATTTATTTTTTATAACAAGGGTTGTGTAGACATGTACTCCATACCATTTACTTTTAACTTTTACCACTCGTCCTTTTTTTTCAAAAAAAAATGTAGTATAAACTTGGAACCATAGCCTCGTTAATAACAAATTAAATATGTAAAAGTTATTACATTGATTAAAGTTGAAACATTGATGCTTAATAGTGACAGAAAAATGAGTACGGATGGAGTACGCTCATGTAATATTTTTACAAAGTTAGTTTAATTTCTTTTAAAAATATTTTAGAATTCTTCAAGTTGATCAAGTTTATAGTCCTAAATGTGGTCAAACTTGTTCAGAACTTTTAGAATCCTATCTCAAACTTCTTTCAGGTCAAACAAGTTTGTAGAAGAACAAATTTCATTAAATCCATTGTATATTTGTTTTGTCAAAAATGTCATTATTACCTTCATCTCAGAATAAGTTTATTTTTGGTTCCTCCCGTTTGTTCAAAAATAAGTTAGCCAAATCTTATAATTTTATTTAGTATGTAACTGAGGAAGTATGGTAATTAATTAGACAGATATATAGTTATATATGCATGTCTATAACAATAGTAGTGGTAATATGGTAATATAGTAATCGGTTCTGTATCTACCTATACCATTATTATCTAAAAAAGAAATCTACCTATACCATTAAAAAAAATAAAGAAAATAAATCCACGAGTGATCCACGGGAGCATGGTATATCCGTATATCTGGAGATGCGCCGGCCACGGGCAGCAACTTGCTCCGATCCCACTTGGCCACTTGAGCGTCTCACCTTGCCAACTTGGCAACTTGCAAAGGGAGGCGCGCCCCTCCTGTCGATATCTTTCGTGCAGCCGAAAGCCATGTCAGGCCCATAAATCCGGGCCCACATAGCGCGGTGTCTGCCCGCAGCCCAGGCCCACGTACGGGCGTGGGCCCGATCGGCCCTGTGAAATGTACTGTGCATAATAATTAACTTGATCGATCATATTAAATGGAACATTTTTTTTTCTTGTTGTTATTATTAACACATTGGCAATACTACAAGTAAATTTGTTCATTATAGTACCAGCATTTATTTATGGAGCTAAGGCAAGAGATGGGGAAAAAAACCCAGAAATTCTGGAACCGCTCAGAGTATTTGAATAACCAAAAAATAACCCTCTAGCTCTGTTATTGTGAACAATCCGAGAGAGAAAACATGACATTAAATCGCTAAGAGAGTTGAGTTCTGAGTGCAGTGTCTCACATCGCGGTAAAAGGCAGTAGTTAAACTCTAAAAATTATCAACTGGGGTTCTAGCGAACGGAGAGAAAGCTGCATCGATCCTTTCTTATATGTCAGCATCCAAAACAACATCTTAGTTTTTGCATCAACTTCCAAATTTGGGTAGCAAGCAATGTGACTGAAATAGTAATGTCATCTGTTAAGATAATGCGATAGCTTGATACTCTGATAGATCATAGTCCTGTCAAAAAATTCTGTTCTGAAGTCATCATCTTGAGGCACCATGATGGTCAAGCAGCCTGATAGTTCCTCTCCGTAAAAAGCCTTCGTCAAGAAAAAGTAATCAGGAGGGCAACAGCTCAGATTACCATGTGCAAACATTAGAAAAATGGTACTACCTCCGGTTTTTAATAGATGACGCCGTTGACTTTTTCTCACATGTTTGACCATTCGTCTTATTCAAAAATTTTATGCAAATGTATAAGATATAAATCACACTTGAAGTATTATGAGTGATATAACAACTCATAACAAAATAAATTATAATTACGTAAATTTTTTTGAATAAGACGAATGGTCAAACATGTGAGAAAAAAATCAACGGCGTCATCAATTAAAAAACGGAGGGAGTACCTGAAAGCATTCAAAAGAGGATATTTAGAACCCATGAAAAAATGATTTAACAAACACATGCTATGTTAAATGGATACCAATCTGACAAAGATGAGTTAAGAGAGAAGTTGAGCAGTCAAAGGGAAACCACAAAAGAATGCATATTCCACACCATCTCTATCAACTTGGTTTAGAGAAGACTACAATCAATAGGCGAATAGCCAATATTTTTTGAGGAATACAAATATACAATAACAAAACACTGGGAACTACAAAAGAAATTGTAGGTGGCATCCTTCCAGCATTTGATAATAATGCTGATACGATAATATGACAGCAAAAGGAAAACTATAAGGAATATGAAAGAGCTTACCAGCTGCTCTGTCAAAAATGATATGCCAGAGCCAGAAACTCCAATTGCCAAAGCAAATCTCTTTGAATGAATACCTAGGTTGTGTATATTTCTCCTTCAGTAACTATAATGATAGTTGTCAAAGTTTGGCCATGAAGTTTCCTGCCTTTCTTTTGGCATATTCGTGAACTATGCCAGCTGTGCTCTGTCTGTGGCGCAAATAAAACTCCGCAAGCAATATTCTACTTTCTTCAGGCAAGAGATCACCATGATGACCCTATCATTAAAAAAAAAAAAACTTCTGGTAAGATAGTATTCGTTATACATTTTTTACAAAGAACTTTTAAGCAGAATATGCACTTGGCAGTGCCCTTGTTTGAAGGAATATTTGGACAGAATGAACAGAGAAGTGAATTTATAAAGACACATTTCTTAAAAGAAAGTAAGTTCAGACCATTCCAAAATCCATCAGTGAGCTGAAACTGAAACTAACAAGTGATGATTCAAGCCATTTGGATATATTAACTGCAAATCGTCAGGATAAAAAACTGACAAAATGCTTCACTGGTTGTTATACATTTCCATAATTTATATATGAGTTTGGAGACAAGTTCAACCCACTAGCAGAAACTGAATTTGGTGTTTATTCTTCCTGCTGGTATATTTAGTAGTAATGCTTGAGACACTTACGATGCGGGAAATTCGATCACAGACAGCATGGTGCATAAGGATTCCAGCTGCAACAGATACATTAAAAGAATCCACCATGCCTTTCATAGGAACACTGCAGTGCAAGTCTGACAACTTTAAAGCATCATCACTTATGCCCCTGCCATAGAAGTAGAATGGCTAGTTAATATACAAGTAGCTCCACAAGTATACTGAAAAATAAATTCCCCTAAGTTAGTGTGATATACTGAGTACTCTCTTTACTTTCCAAGGTATAAATCCATATAAATTTCACAGTGGACTATTTGGAACTTCTGTAGTAAAAACAAACATGGCATTTCTAGTTTGTAATAGGAAAACTTCTAAGCAAACCATTTTGTACAACATACATCAAGATGATTAAGCAGATTTCTTGCAAGAGGAGATGTCAGATTAGTTACCCCAAAGTGATTAAAAAAGATGTAGAAAAGTAATGATAAAGTACAACATACATGAAGTAGAAAAGAGGACATCGTATCTGATCATTCCATTTAAATACTTTTGAGACTCATTATAACATGATTGCAAGAGAAGATGTGCATCTGGAGAAGAGGAAGAGCCCTACATAAGTTCATTGCCCACAACAATAGCGGTAGGTTGCGACCAATCCATGTCGTACACACAAACCTACAGATCCATTACGAGCATAGTTATTCCTTGAACTGTATTACTTAGATCAGTAAATGATAAAGCATCTTTCAATGCAATACAGAGCGGAAAAAAAGTATATTGAGAAAATGACAGTGTAGTATTACATTGTTGCAAAATCCCACAAAAGGCTGAAGTTACCAATTCACTAAAGAATGTGTATTTGGGACAGATAAATATATCTTTCATTCTAACCTAAACGGTCACTAATATACTCTCAAATAGGAGATGACAATAATCATTCTGCAATCAGTGATCAACAACATTGGTGGTGGCAACGACCACACACCAATCTATTTCAAGGCTTTTCTAGCCTAATTTTACAACAAATGTTTTTATCTTGTCTATGTAAGTCACTGAAAATGTTCTTACTTGAAAAGAAAAAAAAAGAGTTGTCTTTCACTGCGGATAACAAATGACAATGCATGTAATGATCACAATCACTCTTTTTTGGCTTACTGTTCAAAATACGAGCGAAAACTAAAAAGGTGAGCAACAACAAATTACCGAATCATTTCCCAAATAAGTAGTTGCAATGCGATAACCACGCTTTTTTAAAGCATCAAAGCATTCTGCAGTTGAGCTCCATAATTCGATATCAAGCCATTTCTCAGCACCCATGCTCACATGCCTATTGTCTCTATACCTGCAATAGTTAAGAAGTATATTCATTCAATGGTCTTGCAAGTTGAGAAATATATACAAATTTTAAAGGATGCAATACGTATATAATTTCATTCAGATAATCAGATATCAGAATTTATGTATAAAAAAACTAATAAGAAAGAAAAATGTTCTGTGTTCTTCAGTACCAATCCAGTGGTCTAATTAGGAAAAAATTTAGCATAAGGAATCACTCTCTTTGTGTTGGATATTAGAACTACATGACTAGATGAGGGATCATTTCCTTCCGGTCAGTATTTCTGCCATTTTTGTACAAACTACTGAATGGACAAATAAAATGCACAGGTCACAAAAAATATTTCTCATTTATTTTGCACCTCAATGAAAAAAAGAATAATACCATGCAGTATTGAGGTAATCAGGTATTGCAGATTCAGTGTATTAGAATATTATTAGATGCAAACTGGCAAACTGTATGCTGAAATTAGATGGTTGAGCATTATCAGAAGTTCACAACAACAATTTCTTCATGGGATCAAACTAAAACCATCCATCCAAATAGATTAGTATAATTCTCATTCTCTACAACTATTCATAGTTCCCTACTTGGCTACTTCGCTCAACCAAACCGAGCAATAGCAATGTCTGTCATGAAGAGTAAGTTAAACATTTTGGTTTCACCTCTGCACCTTTTGTTGTTGTCGCAGGAGATGACGTGCACGGACTGCACGCCTAGCGCGTCGGCGGACCGGAACGCCGCGGAGACGTTCCCGAAGTCAGAGAGCCCCTCCACGACGAGGCAAACGGAGTAGCTCCGGTTCTCGACGGCGCGGCGGATCCGCTCCCGCCGCGCCTCCATGATGTGCGGCTCCAGCACCTCCAGCACCTCCCGGCTAGTCAGCTCCACGCCCCCCGCCGCCCGGAACGCGTCCAGGTAAGGGAACCACCTCCGCCCCGCCCCGCCGGGGGGGAAGTCCCCGTCCGCGCGACGCTGCAGCTTCATGAGCCGGTCGATCCGGCCCCTTCCCGCGGAGGAGGAGGAGGAGGAGGCGGGGGGCTTCGTAACGAGGAGCTGCTCCACGGTGTCGACCCCGTCGGCGGCGTCGCCGTCACTGGCGGCGGCGGCGGCGGTGGAGAGAGGGGAGGCGCGGATGCGAGATGGAGGCGGAGGAGGGGGCCTGGGGCGGGGGATGGAGGCGAAGGCGGAGGCGAGGGAGGAGACGGAGAGCGTCCTGGAAGCCATAGCTGCGGCGGAGGCGGCTCGCCGGCGTTCGTCTCCTGTAAGAACTGGACTGTGGGGAGGAGGAGAGCAAGTCGCCGCCGCCGCCGCCGCCGCGCTCACCGCTGCTGCTGCTGTCCAAATTCCAACTGCTAGTGAGTAGTGACCGCTCGATAGGCTGGAGTGTCTCGCGCTCATCAGAACGGGCTGGGCTGGCAAGTTTAGCTGCGGCACATTACGGCCCAGGCCCATACTGCGACGAGATGCAGCGGGGTGTGCACGGAGCCCTTGGAGTGGTTGGTGAACTGGTGATCGGGCCGTGCGGCCACCTACCTGGACTGGACAGACTATCAGAGTCTCCAGCTCCTCAATTGCCGCTGGCCGCTGCTAGCTTTCCTTTCTCTTTTCCTGCATAATAAAAAAGTTGTGTAACAAGTCACCATTTTCAGCAACACTCAGCAAATTACCACTAAAATTTCCAAAGAGCTTTATTCACACCAGAAATTCAGAAACAACACCATCTCCCGAGTGGCCAAAATAGTTGGAGAAGGTTAAGATAGTGAGTAATGTGGATATATCGACAGCGCCCCTTCTGCGAATTATATATGTGCTAGACTGTTGAGAACGTCAATTCCAAATCTAGTTTCAAGAAGATACATTGCAAAGACAAGCCATGAATCACCCTTCAAGGTCGCTTCAACAGATCTGCTTCAACAGATCTGGCATCTTCTCCCTTTCATGGTCTTCTTCCCTTCTGTTGGAGGCGTGAAATTGGAATCGATGGATTGGATTTTAGGCTGTGGAGAGAAGTGCAAAAGCTATACGCATGGAGGCGGCAGTGGATCTCAGGGTGGAGAGATGATGGTGCCCCCGCCGGCGGCTGTGCGACGGGAAGAGGATGGCTCGATGTATCCCTAGACAGGGGGGGGGGTCAGCGGCTCCCCAAGTTTTCGGCTTGGTTTGTTGTTTTGAGTCTTTCAACACATCGGCTCAACTCTAAAGAAGGCTTGGATGCATGCGTCAGCTGTCTACGCGGTGTCGCACATGAGGCATGGTGCGACACTGCTGCAAGAATTTTTTTCCTCGTCCAAGTCTGCTTTGTCGACGAGGACAAGATCTGCTGCCGCCTGCCAGTGCAGAGCCTCCTACCGCCCCCCCCCCCCCCCCGCATCGCCGACATCGAAAACCAGTCAGGGAAGAGTGGATGACTTCTGGTTCAACATCAACACAGTGGCCTACTTCGAGGCGGTGAGGATTGTTTGCATGAAGAAATCCTTTTATAAGCCCAAGGTATACATCCTTTATATAAGTTGTTGGGTTTGTAATAAGTGAAATATTAATCACGTTAACAAATCGTTGTTGAATACTGAGTTAAATAAACAAAAAATGAACAATGAATCTCTTTAATTTATGGTCTTGTTATACAAAAATATTACAATAAACAAACAAAATCTGTCAACCTTTAGGTTGAGATGACATGAAACAGTTGGGTTGATCTTATTTTGGATTCTGTTTGGTTAGAGAAACTAGAGGCCAAATCATATAGGGCTAGAAGTCAGACCGGTCAATGCAAAACCAAGCAACAACAATACATTTTTCTCGATTACACATGGTTATCTCGTGTTAATATTTCGCAGTTTTGGATCGATTAGATACAGGTAGTATTTTTTTGGGTTAATTGGATTCATGCCAGTATAAATTTGCTTGTTTTGAAATTTACCATTACCATTCAGTTAATTGAAAATATGCCACTTTTGTTTGTTTGTAATTGTAATGATGCCATTGATCTATATATTTTACATACACTTGACAGAAATGCCCCCGTCTTCAACCTCCTTCTCTTCCCCGTAGAGCAGCAGGAGCATTCTTTCTCACTCGCTCTCGGCAAGCAGGAGCTCGGCGTCCCTCTCACCAGCGTCGGGCATTGCTCCGGGACTCCGCTTGCTCCCCTCACTCCGGCGGCGGTTCTTGGCAGATCGGACATGCGGATATCCGGCCGCGTCCAGGCAAGGGGGGTAGGCGGGGGGTCACGGATCCGGTGACGATAGAGGCGAGGGGCTAGGATTCGGCGGTGTTCATCGCCCCGTCTCTCTCCTCTAGCAATCAATGGTGCACGAGACCACTCCCGACGGTAGCGGTGAGCTCGTCACAACAGCAGCAAGGTCTCGGAGACGGCGGGTACTGCAACGGCGGCACGTCAGAGAGCTGATCCTACAGAGACAACGAGCTGTGTAGCGGCAAGCAAATCTGGCTGCGAGCTGTAGCAACAAGCTCGTCGTGAAGGTATGGATCCATACGGGACCAACAGCGGCAACAACAGTAGAAACGACATGGGAGGAGGAGGAAGAAGAGTGAACAACGCCTTGGACTGGCTCAGCCCCAGTGGCGACGGCTGCGCACGCCCTGACCCTGCCGCCGTCGCTTCTCTTTTGGTGCCTATCAGTGAACCCTGCCGTGGAATCGCTATGAGCTGGACCACCGTGGAACCATGGACGAGCAGCAACACAAGAGAAGAGGCGAGACGACCTCAAGCTCTACCTGCTGCATATTGAGGGAGGAAGAGACAGAGAGAGAAGATGAACAAGAGGGAAAGGAGCTGAGGAAGGAAGAAGACAAGGGCATATTGGTCCATACGAGAATACATTACACAAAAGGATGTATAACATGGCATGGTTCCAATCTCAGAATAACTGCAATGATATGGTTTCAATTATATAAATTATAATGGTATTTTTCAAAACTAGCAAAATAATAATGGTATGGATCTAATTAACCTTTTTTTAGCATAAAGGCACAAACACATCTGGGTCCAAATCGGTGCCAACTACACATACGCAAATTACTAAACACCAACGAGCAACGCAACAGCCGCATATCACAGCAATCCCATTCTCTTGGCGCATTCCACACTACCTTCCAGCGTCTCCTCCACCCCATACTTGTATCTGAACCCCAAATCCGTGAGCTTGTTTGTATCAGCTCCCACCCTCACGCCCTCCCCTACCACCCTGCGAGTTCACAAACAAACACATATAAAATTAATGAGTAATATTATACGTCCAATCTAGTTGTACAACTTATATACAACCAGAGATATGTTTTTAGATATGCAAATTATAGATCAATTAAAGACGAGCATGCTCATATGCATAGCAATTTCCACAATTAATAAACCATGTAAACAAACAAACAAACAAAAATCAAAAGAGAAAACAAGAAAATGATTAATTGATCATGGGCACACATACTCTCGGAGCTTGATCGTGATCTCCGGATACTTGGCGGAGAAGTGGTCGACGAAGTCCTTCATGTTGGGGTACCCGGCGGCGCAGAGGAAACGGCCGGCGATGGACGGCTGCTCCATGCAGAAGACGTGCGCGTCGCAGACGTCGTCGATGTGCGCCAGCGGCACGGAGCCGAGCAGCGCCTGCAGGTACTTGAGTCCGCCGTGGTAAGACTCCTGGCCGATGAGCGGCGCCACGATCGCCGGGACGCTGAGCAGGTGGTAGAGCCGGGTGGTGTCGGCGTCGCCGCCGACGAGCGCGCACGCCAGGGTGACCACCTCGAACGCCCTGCTCTCGGACTCGTTGTACCTCAGCAGCGCCTTTTCGGATAGCGTTTTGGATGATGCGTAAACCTACGAAGCACAGATTTATATTCTGAATATTTTCGCTAGGAAGCATGTGTTTTCAGTATTGGAATACTTAAGGCATGTTTAGATCCCATCCTCAAAATTTTACACCCAGTTACATCGAACGTTTGAACATCTCAATTAGGCTTAATAAATTCGTCCGCGGTTTATTGACGGATACTGTAATTAGTTTTTTTATTAGTGCCCGAACACCCCATGCAACACCCTATATAATACCCAATGTGACACGCTAGAACTTTTGACCCCTGAATCTAAACACCCCATTAGTTGATGGACATTGATATTAGTACACCTAGGAGCAATTTAAGCACACATTCTTCCAACGTGTATCTGCAGTCGGAGAAACTAAAATAACAAAAAAATACACTGTAAATGAAAATTTGTTATTTTCTTTCTTTAAGTGTAGGGCTAATTTGTTGTACTAACTTATGTTATCACAATATATATCTTGTTGTTTTTTAAAAAAAATTATTTAAAAATAACCTTTTTTTTTGCTGGTTGATTACTTGATTTATAGCCGACATGTCGCTGCTGTATGGGTGAGACTGGCCGAGTGGAGTCCAGCAGGACTCGTTGATGAAGTCCTTGTACCCCTCGCCGCCGTCCTCCCGGAGCGGCGAGGCGGCGGTGACGGAGGCAGTGTGGATGACGCGCTTCACCGTCTTTGATCGCTCGCATTGCTTCAAGATGATGCGCATCGCGTCCACGGCCGCCTCGGCGGTGTTCTTGTACTGCAAAATCAACAAATTACCCACGTTACACATGATGACATGACATTGATATCTTTTTCCTGCGTGTTCCGATCGAGCTTGTGACTACGTATACCTTGCTGCTGGGTTCATGCTGAAACGGGGTGGCGAGGAGGAAGACGAACTCGCAGCCGGCGATGGCCGGCTCGAAGGTGTCGGCGTCGTACATGTCCGCCTCGAACAGCACCAGCCGCTCCGCCGCGCCGGGGAGCTCTCTCAACGGCGCCGCCTTCTTCTCATCTCCTGTCAGATATATTATCTCCATATCTCCAACAATTGGAAACAGGGAGTGATTGGGAGAGGTCTCTAGCTGGCTAGCTAGAGATGGATCGGAGTACGTTGTACGTACCAAGATTTCTCAATGTTCCATGGACGATGCAGCCTCGTTCCAAGAGCTTCTTGACGAGGCAGGTCGCGATGTAGCCGCTGGCCCCGGTGACACACACCCTGCAGCTTACCATAGCTCCTATTTCCCTTCTTTCTGTTCCTCTCGATCGGGCTCTAGTCAAGTGGAATATTTAGTTCCATGGCCCTCTCTACCATCGCTCAAATAGTCGAAGGGACTATCTATTTATGTCGTTATATTTTTTATTGTAAGAAATGTCTTTTTTATTTTCCACTGTATAGTGGAGTACATACGTTTACACCATAAAGGTTAAACTTGCTCTGTAATTTCTCTAATGCGCACCATTTCTTTTACTTCCGCCAACCATAAATATTTGACTAGATAAGTTCTTACCAAACTTTTTAAACTTTGACCATAAATTTTATATTAAAGTAAACTTATAAAACTAATACTTTATGATATTACAAGTACCTTCTGTTTTCGAGGGATTACATCAAAAGTTATTATGGCGAGGTATTACTAGCTGGTAACAAACAGGGCGGAAAATACCACATGGTGAGGTGGACAGATTTGGCTTTCCCAAAAGACTTTGGGGGTATTGGCTTGACTAAAACTAGAATGCTGAACACTGTTCTATCGGCCAAATGAGTTATGAAAATTGAGTCCTCATACAATAGTCTGTGTGTTGAGTTGTTGAGAAAAAAAATATCTTTAGGATAGAGGAGTTTCCCAATGTAATGGTCAAAAGGGATCACAATTCGAGAAAGAATTCTGAATACCAGAAAATGGATGAAACTAGGGTCATAGTGGCTTCTAGAGGATGGAAGACATATATGGTTCTGGCATGATCCTTGCCCCCTTAAGACCACATACCCAAAGATTTTTTAGATTTGTAACCAACGAGACATCACAATCTCAAAGTTGGTAACAAAGAGTGCTAGTTGTTTATCTTTTATAAGATCTTTTGAAGACATAGAAAGTATGATGTCACATATATAATTGAAGAGATTGTACTAGTCAATTCACCAGACCTCATGATCTGAGGATTATCAGCTAATAAACTATACACCACAAAGTCACTCTATGAAGCAATGGCCTTTAGAGGTGTGAGAGATGTGAAAATGCAGTGTGTAGAAGAATTAAAAAAAACTGGGAGTGCTCAGAATTTTGTCAATAGGTGGGGCACTTGTATCGACCACCCACATTCTTTTTACCTACCTCATGGCCTCTTTAACTTGGTGCATTTGTAGAGATTCTTTTGGGTGGGGAACAAGAGATTTTGATGAGTTCTTTTTGCTAATTAACAATTCTAACCAAGTTGAATCTAGAGTTTTTACTGCTGTATTTGTGGTTGTTTGCTGGTTATTATGGACCACTAGAAATAATATGATTTCCAGATCCAAGCCGTTGTACTCTCCACTGATCCTACCTTTTCGAATCATCTCTCTTTTGCTGCGGAGAGCCCTTTGTCACACTAAGGATGTTGTGGAGATGGAAATGGTTGCAGAGAAGTTGAAAAATGTGACAACCGCTTTGAAGATCCGAAGAACAGGGGTTGGGTAGCCTATACCTCTGCTAATGTTCTGTATTATTCCTGTTTTGTAATAGATCTAAGAGACATCAGGTGCTTGCTACTTTAGAGCTGCAGGTTTTATCCCTGTTGCATGATGATCGCATGGTGTTTCTCCAAACTCGTTGAGTCACTTGGTTAAGTTGTTCATCTTTTGTAAACTGGCAACCCCCATTACCAACTCTACCGTATGACGTAATGTGGCTTTCAATATAAACCGGGCCGCAAGGTCTTCTCTCTAAAAATACAATGTACGTACTTTTTTAGCCAAATCTACCCATATTTTTGCTTATTTAAATTAAGCACTTAAGAAGCTATAAATTGTTGAACGCTTTAAAAGTTTGGCTAGATATCGTCCTGTACATAGATTGATTTACAACAGAGGCAGTAGTTGTCTGTCTCAGGGTTTTTATTTTTGTAAATCTGGAAAAAAATGATATAAGTAAGATTGGTTGGAATGAGAACATTATTGGAAATGGGACGGATTGCGATCAAGTTATCATCCAACTGTTCATCCATCCTGTGTGGGATGTGTGGCTCACACATATCCTGTTGTTGTCCTGTACCTCTCCGCAGTGTCTGGATCAACTGTATCCTCCCCAAGTTGTAGTACAAACTTACATCAAAGCCCTGTGCCCCTGTCCTAGCTGAGTGCATCCAATGTTTTTCGCCGTTTAATTTCCTACACACGTGAGTGGATGGCCCGGCCGGCCTGTCTCTATATATGTACTAGGAAAAACAGTGGCTGGCTTGCTTAATTATGCATTTGCAGGAATGGAACCAGCGAGGAGGAGACGGGAGGATGGACTCAACAAACCAAACAGATCAAGCAGGATATATAGGTGCCCGAAACCTATAGTAAAACCTAGACCATCTGATCTGAGCCAACGGTCGTCACTCACAGCGTGGTCCGTGTAGGCAGGGGCTCGCGATGACGACGCAGCAGCAGCAGCTAGCTATAGCTACCTAGCATGGGGCTGGAACTAGAACCATGGCGGACGACGCGTTGCCAACCGATCAGCGGCTCAGGCCCCTTCGCCGGATCACGAGCGCCGCAAGCAAGCAGAGAAGCAGAGACGTATAATGGAAGCTTCTGACAACTTTTTTTAAAAGATAATGGAAGTTTTATTAATAGTCAGTAAAATACACCAAGATGATACATTCTAACTTAATCCACCCCCAGCCTCTGCATAGAATTCACACAGCCAAAAACACTAGACCTAAGAAGACTTCCCCATCACAAAACATAGAAACTAGTGGTTATCAATCCGTAGAGACTAGGTCGCCACCCATGCTTCTGGGTAAAAAAAAAAACTCCTGTGCTACCTGGTCGAAACGTTGTGATACCACCGCAATAGTATCCCGAAGTCCCGGTTTGTAGAGGATGGCCCAGGTGCATAGCCACCGGATGACTAAAGTAGCTTTTGACAACTATAGTTTCTTCAAGGATCAAAAGTTCTACCAAATAGTTTTTTTTTTAGATTCTGAGACGTTGTAGTTGTAGATTTCAGAAAATGAAAAGCTCAGCTTCTCCAGGATCTCACAAGATAGTTACCGATCAGCTATTTCTTAGAATTTTAAGGCTTTTTCAAATAGGTCCATAGTTATATATGAGTCTTCACATCGGTGACCAACGGATTGTAACAACTCCAACCGTTACGAATGGATGGTTCCTAGTGAATGCACCGTGCATACTGTAGAGATTATGGATACCTCGTACCCACACGGCATGTATATCCGACTGGGTATAGGGGTACCATATACGGTTAGAATATCTTTAGTAAAGGACTCGGTTGTTATGTTAACTTGTATAATAATAATTAAACATTCGATAGTCCTAGTCGGTTATGATTGTAGTTTATCTTTACTTGCATATTCCGTTAGTAATATGAGCTGTATCTTGTAATACGGACTCCTCCCCCTATATAATGAGGGGTTCGGGTGCCTCTAGAGGCACAACTTTTCTCCCAGATTATACGATCAATAACACACTCGGCGGATCAATCCCTGGACAGGAATAGGGTATTACTTCTCATTGAGAGGGCCTGAACCTGTATAAATCTTTCGTCTCCTAAGAGCATCTCCAACAGCCTCTCTATCCCACTCTCCAAGTTAAATTTTAGCTATTCTAGCTAAAAAAACGTGCTCCGGCCAACAGCCTCTTCAACCGGATGGCTAAGCCATCCGGCTAGCCAAAACCCTCCCTCCACTAGCCAAATTTGGCCACTTTATTTGGCTGGCCAATTGTGGGCCCCCCACAACCCATCTCCACCATCCCCACACACGGCAACTAGGAACAGGAGGAGCACGAGGAGAAGCCATGGAGAGGAGCTCGAGCACGCAGCCGCCGACCACCGCTCGCCGTGACCACCGTCCTCCACTCGCCGCGGCCGCCAACCCCCACGCGGCGCAGCGCGCAGCCCGCCGGCCCCCGTTCGACGGCGCCCGCCTCTCCTCCGCGCGCCACGGCCGCCGGCCCCCGTGTGGCGCAGCGCGCAGCCCGCCGGCCCCCGCGCGACGGCGCCCGCTGCCCCCGCGTGGCGGCGCCCGCCGCCTCCGCTCACCGCAGCCTCCGTCCTCTACGCTTTCGATGCTGTCGCCCACCGCCGTCATCGGCACCATTGCCCGCCGCGACCTCCGCCGTCCTCCACGCCGTAGCCAACCACGACCGCCGCTGAACCTCGCTCCTCCTCGCTCCCCGCCGCACCTACCACCGCCGTCCCCTCCCCACTTGCCGCCTGCTTCCTGCCAAAGTGAGAGAAGAGGAAGAGGGGAAGGAAGAGGAGAAAGAAGAAGGGAGAGGCTGACCTATGGGTTTCGGTGTCATAAAGTCAAAGTAGAGATGGTAAAAGGAGAGGCTCTTGGAGTGAACAATTAGTTTGACTAGCCAAATCAGATGGAGAGTTGGTTATATGGGTGTTTGGAAAGTTCAATTTAGAGAGGCTGTTAGAGATGCTCTAATTCATCCACTTTTCCTGCTTGACAGCCACCCCTTTTAGTATTGCTGAAATATTGTTTCGACACATTACTGAATGTACCGTCTTGTCACTAGCTATGCATCGGGCCAGGCATGACCGCATAAATTCAGAGGTCGAGGGATGGTTTTGTGGTGGGTCGGAGAAGAAAATTAACAGGCTACCTGATCTGATCCTGATCCTCGTCTCTAGTGCTCCAAAGTAATCGCCACTGTACGTTGATACGATGGAGCACACAGGCCGCCGGCCACGAGGAGAACGATCCATATACCCAACCTCTGAGGAGTCGGTGTTCCTTTCTCCGACCCACAGCAACGTTATGTGTATTGCACTGCACGATCCACAAAGAGAGTAGATTTTGATTCCTCAATGGGATGTCCTCTCGTTGTTTATATGTCGCTCAAATGGTTATAAAAAGATTTGAAAAAAATTGGAAATTTGTATTAACATGTGATATATCACTCTACAAACATACAATTTCAAATCCAACTTCTACATCTCTCAACGAAAAAACAAATTTGACTGTGAATATATGTTAATTAGTTGTAGTTTAATTTGTTTTGCTTTTTTTCGTAGCGAGATGTAGTAGTTAATTTTGAACTTGTTGTTATAAAACCAGCCCCGAAATCGGTAGCTAAACGCGGAAGAAACGCCATATGAGATCTA